ATGGGCGGCGCTCGAATCACGCTTCCAACATGAAGAAACGATCATCCTACCACAAACCCGGAGTGATTGGTTGCGTCTTCGAATCCTCGACTTCACAATTTTTCATAGTTATGATTCATAACTGCACCGTATCGTTGCCCAGCTCCGCATCTGTGGCCAGAGCATCACCGACGCCGATATGATAGATAAGACATTTTCAACTTTTTCTCCCGCATGTGACATCTTATCGCAGCAATATCGGAATATGTAATTCACCAAGCATGCTGATATGATGCGATACCTGATGATTGACGAAAAGCAACAACAACTTTTACTCAAGACAGCTGAGACTCGACTCGCAAGAGAAATTCACAATTCAGAGGCCTCGAAGCACATCAGGACCAGCTCAACTTCAAGATCCAGAGGAACAAACAACAAATCCCATGTTCCTGCTGCACCCAAACGCACGTCACAAGAAAATTGGAGGCACAACCCGTCCAACAGGTCTCAGCGGTATGACAACAAACCTCCTCAGTCTCAGTCACCGTTGTCTACTGAGATCAAGAGTAATTGTCATAAGTGTGGTAGACCTGATCATTGGGCATGCAATTGTCACGCTAGCAAGTACATATGTGACATGTATCAAGAACTTCAGTCCTTGAAAGTTGCGCGACAAGAGTCTCATACTGTAGATGCTACGTCTCTCACATTTACGGAGTTAGATCCATTAAATTATATGGTAATGCGTCATGGTACTATCAACAAGGACAATATCGCGCTCCTTGATAGTGCATCCACCGTTTCAATTTTCAAAGACCAGACTTACTTTGAGTTCCAAACTCAAAACGAGCAGTGACAATCTTGTGACATATTCACAATCGCAGAAATGCAAAATTTAGTGTTCCGTGAAGGCCGGGCAACAATAGTCTTGCCCGGAGGCGCCCCGCTCACTTGCAAACGGGCAATGTATGCCCCTGTGGTCACTCACAGTCTGATCAGCTACCGGGATTTACGGGCCAACCATATCCACGCATCCACGGCAGTAGAGTGCGGTGAAGAGATACTACAGCTCAGGCGTGAAATCTCGCCACCGCTAAAGCGGGAATAACAAGACTGCACGAGATTCTAATCTCATGAGTTAACTCCACCAATACAGGTGCAAGGAAGAGGCAACTTGCCTATGCTCGGCCCATTTTGGGCGCTAGCCCTACCTAACCGGGTAAGAAAGAGGCCACCGCTTTCACTACGCGATCAAGCCTACCCTGTAAAGGTGCCTCCATATCCCTCATGACAACAAACGTTAGAGTGGATTTGTGGCATAGCCGACTGGGGCACCCTAGAACTACTATGATGCGGAGCATGATATTGCTCCTGACCAGCCACGAGATGTGCACTAGCGACGCGGAGCATGTTTGAGAATGCCCTTATGCATCCAAGGGAAATTGATCAAACGACCTTCCACTTGAAAACTACCGGAGGAGATGCTCGCACCATTGCACCGTCTTCAAGGTGACTGATGTGGCCCAATCAATCCAACATCAGGTCAATTCAAATACTTTTTTGTTCTTGTTGATGCATCCGGACGTCATGCTGAGATTTATCTTCTTCCCACTAGAAACATGGTGTATCCCAAGACCTTAGCGATGTTATTAAAATTTAGAAACCACTACTCAGATCACCAAGTTCGATTCCTTAGAATGAACAACGCTCTTGAATTTAAATCTTAGGCATTTGAGGACTATTGCGCAGCGACAGGTATAGAACTTACTTATTCCGCTCCTTACGAGCACAGTTAGAATGGTCTAGCCGAAGCTTTTATCAAGAAAATTGAGCTCATACTCCGACCTTTCCTTTTTCATTCTAAATTTCCACCTTCTTATTGCGGTCATGATGTCCTTCACGATGCCGTTCTTTTATGTCTTAGACCGACCTTACTTCATACTCAGACTCCGCTAGAATTAGCATCCGGACGAATCCCGCATATATCACATTTTTGAACCTTTTGTGAGGTTTGAATACCTGTTGTAGATCCAAAGATGAAATTCATGGAATCCCATAGTATCAAAGGTATATATCTTGGTCTTGATTCCCCGAGTATTATTCGATACAAGTTACCCGATAGAGATGATGTTTACAAAGCTAGATTTCAGAACTGCAAATTCATAGAAACTTGTTTTTCCGGCGCTAGACACTCCAACCATATGAAACTTAACCTTAGAGCCCAAGATACTCTCACCTGAAACCCAGATCCACGAACAACACGTACAAATTTTGAGGCTAGAAAACTTCTAGACTTACAAAACCTAGCCGAAAAGCTCCTTGACGGATTTCAATCCGGCCCTAGAATACTCCAAAACCCACTACCTGGGTTAGGAAACCCCGTGCTCGCTTCAATACCCAAGAAACGTAAGACTCATACACGAGCATCACTCCTAGTAGAATAACCCGAGGAACCTTCAGATCTCTAGTCAAATCCTGAGTCACTTGTAACCAGTCTTACTAGTTCTGGTTTTGATCCTACTACTTTAGATCAAGCTAGGAATCGACCAGATTGGCCATAGTGGGAAAAAACATTACATGCCGAGTATCAACCCCTCCGCAAGCGTTCAGTATTTGGGCCATTTGTAACAGATCTTACAGTTAAACCCATAGGTCACAAACCTATATTCATTAGAAAACGTGACGAACACGGAAACGTAATTCGTTACAAAGTACGTCTAGTTGCACAAGGATATACTCAAAAACCAGGAATTGATTTTGACCAAACATATTCTCCTGTCATGGATAGTACTTCATTTCGCTATCTTTTAAGCCTATTTGTACAACTGTCACTTGAAACACGTCTCCTAGATGTTGTCACTACCTATTTTGTTTGGCGACTTGGATACAGATGTGCATATCAAACCTCCACCACAGTTTGTGCCACGCCTGCTCCCAGTTCAACCAGGACATTTTCACGGGCTACGCATCCGGAAGGCACTCTATGACTTGAAACAAGCCGGAAGAGCATGGTATCATCACTTGAAGTCCTATTCAATTTCTAATGGCTTTCAAAATCATCATGTTTTACCATGCATCTTTGTTTTGAAGGAAGATAAGCAATTTGTGATCCTTGCGGTATATGTTGATGATTTGAACTGTATTGGAACACCAACATTGAGCAAGCATGTTGATCTCATACTAACTAAACAGTTTGAGATGAAACTGTTAGGCAAAATATTTTATTGTCTTGGCCTCCAAATTACTCATCTTGTAGATGGAAGTATGCTTCTTCATCAACAAACCTACGCTCGCAAGCTTCTGAAGATGTTCAACATGGACCATGCGAATGCCCTATCAGCACCTATGATAGGGAGGAGCAAGACTGACGATGATCCCTATCGTCCTGCTGAAGCCGAGGAGGAGGAGTTGGACAAACCGAAGTATCTAGCAGCCGTTGGCGCACTCCTCTACTTGGCGACAAATACTCGATCCGACATCAGTTTTGACATCAGCGTCCTCGCCCGTCACAGCCAACGCCCCACAGCACGACATTGGCAAGGCATCAAGCACCTCCTCAGGTACATCCGAGGAATAGAAGATCTCGGTCTTCATTTTCGCTGCGGCCAGAATGATATTATAGGCTATGTCGACTTTGGATTCAAATCAGATCCAACGATTGGCAAGTCCCAAACAAGCTACATCTTCATAAAAAATGGAGCACGCATTTGTTGGAGATCAACGAAACAAACAGTCACTGCAACTTCAACAAATCATGCTGAGCTCCTTGCGTTTCACGAGGCAGCTCGAGAAGCACTGTTCGCACCATGCAGACCGCTATATCCGAGATGGCTGGATTTCCATTCCAAGAGAAGCCAACAACAATTTTTGACTATAACGCAGCTTGTATTGAACAAGTATCTTTTGGTTTCATCAAGTCAGACCGTGTCAAGCATATTAATCCTCATTTGTTCAGCTACACACAAGACCTCACGGAGACGAGCCAGATTGCAGTGCGAAAGATAGCTTCCACGGAGAACATCGCGGATATACTTACCAGGGCATTACCAGCTCCGCAGCATTGAAAACTAATAGCCGTAGCATGGATGCGAACGTTGTCAGAACTTATAGACAATAGTTAAATTAGAATGTGAACCATGACTCCACTCTTTTTCTTCAATCTACTTGAAGTTTTTTTAATAAGTGAGTTCATCGTTCGGGGAGTATTGTTGAGATCAGTTATCTCTAAATATAACGAAAGTTTACCCTAACCTTACCGATATAGTATCTCTAAAGGTATGGAGGGTTTACCCTAACCCTAAGAAGCATAAAAATTTCTAACCAAAAGTCTCTCTATTAATGAAGGGTACACTAACCCTGGCTCCCATATAAATATGGTACTGGAACACCATCCGAGTTCATTTAATATACTTTACTTTGAGAATATTTACTTAGAGCAATGTTGAGAGAGAGAGATACGAGAGCTCGCTGATTTGTTCTCTTTGAGTTTTCCTTCTCGCAACATGCACGATCTCGAGCAAAGAGAGATGCTTACGGGAAGGGAAGGAAGAGGCCGGCGATGGCGAGTTATCTATACCGGAGCACGAACCCCACAGGATCGACAGTAGGCTGGCCGGCCACTCCCTTGCACAGGTCGGTGGCCCAGCACCTTATTGACCTGAAAGTCCGGCGGAGATTTGGATTGGTTCCTGAATGCTTGCACGTGGTTCCAAGACCCTGTGCTGCCGCATGAAGAGCGGAACAGACGTGTCAGTGTCGGTAAGATGTCGAGGGGTTGGAATCCCAGAGAGCAGGAGCTGCTTTTAGTATTCACGTGGCTTTGTCAAGCGCGAGCTTCGTGGAGTAGGCAGATAAGGATGTGAATATTGATGTCTACTCGGTGATACAGAATCTAAGTCGGACCTCGGAGCTGGGCGTGAAATGTGTCGTTCGAGCGTAGGACAGTGATTCTACCGTCAGCAGGTCCAGGCATATTCTTAACGTCCGGAAGAAACGCGACACAATGTTGCGCTCGCTCGGCTCGCCTTCAAGCAAAACTGCAAGTGCAGTCTGTCTTTTATTTACATTTTTTGGGGATTTTCATAGTGAGCACAGGCGAGAATACCTGAGATCGGATCGCTAGAGATGTCGCATGCCTCGTGGAAAGACACACGCACACAGAAGCAACCATTCTACAATTCTGCTCTTCCCACGACTGTCATGACCCAGGCCAGATGTCATGTGCTGGGATCGGCGAATGAGGAGTGCACATAACAGTCGGTCTCGAGCACATGTGAAAAAGAATTCACATCATCACCATCTCCCTCGACCAAACTCGTACCAGCACCACCGACCCGACAAACCGATCAGAATAATCGTCAACCTTTCCCACCTTCCAGACTGTACTCCAAGCTCACACATCAAACTCCTGTACAGACGCAAACAAAATGTTCACGAGGTCACGACCATAGCGAGAGAATCTAGTCCTGGACGACCTGGGCTGCGTATCTGGTGGCCTCCTGAAGAGCGTACATGGACGGCCGCCAGACGATGGAGAAGCCCACAGAGGCACAGGCCTGCTCTATGCCGTCGTTGTCCAGCACCTGGAATTTGAGCTTGTACAGACCGGGAGGGGTGAAAGGTGGTAGCTCCTGCGAGCTGCTCAGAGCGAAGTCTCCTTTGACGGGACACGCAGTCTTCTCGCAGATGTCGTCCTTTTCGGTGTGTACCTTGAAGCCGTAGAGAGACACGGTCACGACCACCGTTCCTCCTTGCAGCTCGAGATTCGTGAACGCAGGCACCGTGAAGGTAACGAGGTCACCGCTCACGACGGGCTCAGGGTTGATTACCACATCTTTGATCGTGATGGGGTATTTCCTCCATGCAGAGCAGGGGCGGAAGTCGCCATGGACGTGGCTTGCACTGCTCAAACCGACCACAATTGTACAGAGTAGCAGGAAAACAGATGTCCCTCTTGTGTCCATGGTGAAATCTCTCTCTTCTAATACGATCTTTTGTTTATTGCACGATCAATGGTGCTCCGTCTTGCTCTTCCGCTGCAGATTTCCTCGCTGTTCCCTACAGAAGCGAGACGATAGTGAAAATTTGCCAACTGACACGCTGTGGAAGTTACAGACTGTCACTTTCTTATAAGCTCCACCTTCATCTGGATCCTCACAAAACACTGACAGTCCTGCTTTCCTCATAGACTCCCAGACGTCGATCAGTGGCATACGTCTGGTCTACAGAGGACGTATCCTTTACAGGCAATTTTACAAAAGTGTCTGCAAAGGACACCGTATTCCACACTACTTCTCGACGATCACATGTACTCTCCGGGGGATCGACGCAAGATCTCATGTCTGTAGAAAGATCTGAACTGCTCTCTGGATGTGATACCAACATTAGTACGAGCTAAATGAACGAACCCAACATTCTTTGATACATCGTTCACTGATACTCCTGATTGCTCGATTGAAACGAGAATATTGTTAGAAGAAGTACCTGCTGGGGATTTGAAAGATTTGGAATTCAGAATGTCCTGATCATCCGATTCACCGACTGAAGCACGTGCTCACTTTATTGTTCCGGAGTGTCATCTATAATCTCATATACAACATCAGTCACTGTCGGAAAGGCCTACGAGATGCAAGAGATATACGTTCCACTAACATGTATATATACTGAAATGCCTCACTGAATGAGAATCAAAAGCTCTCTCAAGTCCTGCCCTCTACTCAAGAAGAAAACAATTCTTTTGTTAACTTACAGAGTCATACTGGAATCTGACTTTCAGGGTTCGGCTACATCAGCCATCGAAGACGCTCACTGTGCAAGCCAAAAAGATATGGACAGCCTGTGTGTGTAATGACGGACCATTTCGAGTCCAGAAAAGCTACAAGTACATGACTGAAGCATTCTGGAGGAGATCGGGAAAGAGACCGACTCTACAAAGGACAATGGTGGATGTGAATCACTCTATGTAGAACCATGCCATAGGCTGCAGGTTACTCCCCACTTCCCGGCATCACCTCCTGTGGAACCCACGGGCAAAAGCTGGACAGTGTCCCGGCCTTGACTCGCACTCAGCATAAACTTATTCCTAATCTTTCCAAAGCAAAAGGCAATATTTAGTTTAGAATACTACACTGCTGACTCTCTATCTTTACTTGCAGTTCAATTCACCGATTCATCTACCTACCAGATGAGTCAATGCTGTGATTCACTTCAAATTCATTACTGTGTATGACAATCCTCAAAGCATTACACGAAGCGTGGATCATGTGAGCCTAAATCACGCTTTCCTTCAAACCGAAGCCACGCGTAGAAAAATCAAATGCTGCCTCGAGAGGTTATGGAGCCTTGTAGCATTAATTCCATGGCGAGGGTTTCGGGCATTTTGATTTTTGAGATAGCACAGTGAGGGTCGTATGAAACGATGCCCCGGATCAGATATCTCCCCAGACCATGGAATCGTTACGAGCATAGAATATATCAATCCTTGTCAGATAATTCTTCATCGTTCCTTCCCCTGATATTTATGATCCTCTCGTCCAAAGTTGCAGGGGTGCGAGCCAGGCACGTTCCTTGTGACAGTCATGCAAACATCGAAGGAATCTCAAGATTCTTGACAGTGACCGGATATAGAGAGAAGAGACAATGCCACAGGCCCTCTACATCTTTGTGATTAACGAAATAATTCTATTTCAATTCTCGAGGGATTGACTGACTTGATGTCAAAATCTGCATGGCGGTAGCCTCCGTACAGCCATTTTGGCTGTACGGAGAGAGAGAGATCCTACTTCTGGCGATCAGGTCGAGATCCGGAATCTGATGAAACCAGCATAAGTGGCAACGTGGATCTACCATTTAAAACCATCCTCTATTAATTTGCAAATTACCTGCCTGCCCTTATCCATGTCACACACACAACATATGGATCGTGGTCAACCCCGGAGGAAAAACAGCCAGGTTTCATTCACTGTCAAGATCCGGTGGACATTGTGATCTCAGAAGATTGAGGGAAAGGTGTGTGCCATCGAGGTCCACAGAACCGATACAGCCAGTCTCTTACTTATTATTGCCTACATTACATCCATTCCGTTTATAGGAACCATCAGCTCTCTGGGTAAAATTCTAGTGAACATGCTCTTGAACCTCGATCATGGAGACTGCAAGCCACTCTGTCTTCCAAAAGAGTACGAGAACTGTAAGGACATAGACTGCTTCGAGCATTCAGAGCTTAAGCACACATTTGGGAGATCAAAGAATGCCCAATAAGTTTCAAAGGGATGGCCCAGGGACATTTGTGGCAGTTTGTGGCTAAATACTTTCTTCGTTTGCTTCTGATCTGAATCTCAGGTCTGTAATGTATCGCTTCAGAGTCCGGACTATGTGAGATGGACTTCCGTTGGTGCACAACCGTAGGCCTGGATAACAACTACAGGACTGTACATATGTCAAACATCTCCGAACTGTTTGACGAATGCGGAAGGTTTACCGTCCACAACCAAGCAAGCTTTTCTCCCACTGTAACTTCGTCCTTAGATTTACAATACTCTGTGATTCTCACCGTCCATAGTAGTGATCAAACCGTCTAGAGTAGTGATCACTACTAAGGGCGGTGATCAAACCCATGGAGTGCATGTTTGCTAGCATTAAGATGGAGGTGCTGCTAAACAGAGCAACATGCTGGCACGTCTCTTTCCTACGCCTCAGATTCAGTCAAGAGAGAAGGCTTTTCTCTGCACGCCACCCCCAGGATGCGGATACGGATATTATATTTGTTACAGTTATACATCCCCATGGCTACCTACCAGAGCAAGCGACCATCCTTGTGATGGCATAGCACTTATTTATGCTTAAACGAAACATGCTGCAACATAAAGTCTGGCACCCGCAGACAACAACTGTGCACTAAAGCGCAGTTTCTGCAGTTTTCACTGATGTTCTCCTTGTTTTCTCATTTTGAGTTCTCATTCTGAGTTGGATGACGTGGGAAACCGTCAAGATTATTCCCGCATCGAATCTAGTGGTGATTTATACAGTAAAGGCTTAAAGGCTGGGCATTAAGGAAATGCAATGTCTGACTATACGCAGTCCATATACAAGTTTAGTCAATCATATTCGTCACGAATACATCGTGACTCTATTGGGGCCTAACCCAGTCCTCATAAAATCTTTCGTTTTATTTTTAGAGGCCAGATTTGCCAGAATTAATTTGGCCAAAGTGACATACGTGATATAGACGGTGGCGTCACAGTAACATCCCGCGCGCGCCCTTAGTTGCAAAGCATTTTGACGCTCGAAGGGGAAGTCATCGAGGGTAGGGGAGTGGTGAATAAGCGTAGGAGATTTTGACTAGGCCCTTCATGAACTGCTTCATGGCGAAAATCTCGCGTGATCCCGAAACAGAGTCGGGAGTGCAAATGCGCATGAAAAAGAAATAAAGTAAATTAATATGATCCGACGGTCGTGATGCGGTCAGGACAATTCGGGAATACAAAGAAAGAAGACTGCTGCACCAACCTGACAAGACTTTCTTTTATTCATGAGAAGTAATTTAAAACGATTATCTCCAAGCAATCGAACTAAAAACAATTAAATGAACATGCTCATGCTAAACATTTGATTATTAAATTGATTTATATTTAAATATAAAAATTTTATTTTTTAATTTACTAATTCATCTTTGTTTTTTTCTACTAATTACCAATTTAGTATTGTTTTTAGTTCATTTTGTCACCGGAGTTGAATTGCAAAGATAGAAAAACAACTGAGTTACTTTCACTCCGATCAAAACAAATATTGAAAGTTCTATGGAAATCATAAGAATAGGGTTAATCATGTTAATTGATGAATTAAGATAATTCTAGCAAATACTAGAATTAAGATGAATTATTTGCCATGATTAATTTAATTCTGGCAAACCTACTTTAGAGGTCTGGCCCAACCCCATGTTACCCTGTTGGTCTTATCATCTTAGGGCTTGAAGGGGGAATTACATCCAGTTTTACACTGTAATTTGATCTCCTTTTTCTTTACATCCGTCAAACGCATTTTGTCATACTTTCGAGTCGGACCAGAAAAATTGAGCTCCGCTGTAAAACCATTATAAACTACAAGTTCCACGCACTCGATGAAGACGTATCCACTTCTTCAACTGCATGCTGTGATTACATCTTTTGACCAGGTCCTCGTCAATTCGTTTGACAAAAAACCGAGAAAATTTCCATATAATGTGGAAATGGTCTGAAACGTTCATCCTACTTTTCTTGCCAACGAAAATAAATGCACCATAATACTTGACCGGCTCGACCGGTTATTGAAGCTGGCGAACACAATCACGTTCCTAGTTGACAAACACCGCAATGTCCGCACTGCACGGTGCACTGCCACGACAATTGGGACAGAACTCAATATCATAGCCGGAGGATATTTGACCGAACAACCATGAAATCTTGGGAAACATCGACAACGTCATGGATCTCCGACGTGCGAAGCCCATTGCAAACGCTTCGTTGATTTGATTAATTTTTTATTTTACTTTATTCATTTTCTAGTTTTATACTGCAGAGTATTTCTCTTAGGCAGCAAACTTGTTTGTCGACGCCTTTGCGGGAACGTAAGGGCCGGTTCCGAGGATGGTGCTCATCGGACGGTCCCGAAGTCATGAAGAAGGGAGCATCTGCGGAGCGGCAGTTACGAATCTGTCCGCTCTTGTCTCGCCAGTGAACGAGGACAGTTCGTTGGAAGTTAGAACCTTCCAAAAATGATCGGCCAAGTCAATCCTCCCTCTCAGGGACGCAGTTCAACATTGAGCCAATGCTCCGGTACATCTGCGTGGTCGCGTACGCGGTATCAGTGAGATGGCAGTACAGTCCTAGTCCAGACATAGTTAGAGTTTGCACATTAGTAATTCAACAATAAATGTTATTAAAAGTAAAGTAAATTTTAATATAAGTATAAATAAAAATAGTAATACTATCGTCTGCATGTTTGGATCCATAATAATTTTATCGCTTTAATAATAACATAGCCACGATAGCCCACGGGGAAAAGATTAACTTGCTTATGAAAAACATTGGAAATCCGTGATTCGTCCAAGGATAGAATATGTGACGGGTTGTATAAAGATCACTCAAATTAGAACAATATGTATGTAAGAGTAAGTTCCAAGAGCGAGATTAAAAAAGGTGCACATGATATATGGACTTCAAGAAAGCTCTTGAATCCTAATACTGGAAGGGTAGGGGAGCAGCAGACTGTGGCTGAAGGAAGACCTGTGGACATCGAGATTTAACGGCGGTATGGGCGAGCGACCTTGGAAGTACGGAGGGAGATCGACGGCGATGTACGGTTAGGGAGTAACCCGGCTCCGGGGTCGCGGTCTGGGTGCATATGCTCTGGGTGTCCCGACAGATTCGTCGGAACACATTCAGGAGATCCGAACCGTCGGTGATCGATCTGACTGACAGAGGGCGGCCATGACATGATGCTGTTCGTACCGCGGGGACGGCTCAGGAGCCGCTCAATCTGAAGAGGGTTCGCTGAAGTAGTCCCCGCGCTGAGTCGCGAATCGTGCGCGGGTCTGCGTGGATTTCATGACTGGTCCAGAGCCGTGCCGAGACCGGTCCAGAGTTCGACACGAGGTGTAAAGAAAGACGGGGGAAACTCGAGCATAGGACTCTTCGTCAGTTATGACGCACTTGTCAAGGCGTGCGGGAAAATGAAAAGTCCTCGAGACACAAGAGGGAGGCACATTTTGTGAGTGTGTGGTGTTCATGGTGCATGGTCTGGTGCATGAGTACCAAGTAGAGAAATCGAAGGTGCAACAGAGCATATCTACCAAGGAATATAAATATAATGAGGGAGTGTTTCCTTCCTTTCTATTGCTATTTTCTTGGCAGCAGGCGAAATATCCACCAAAACTTCATCTTGAGGCCATTCTCCGCAGG